ATGTCATCTGCTTCTTTACCTTTTCCTGCGGGACAAGTTACATAGGTCGCATCATAAGACGTTTGTCTAATCTCTTCCGCGAGCACCATCCAGTGTGACTAAGCCGAGGATTGAACAAGTCTTCTTCCTCTGACTCCTTCACATCTTCCCCCGTTGTCTACGTTCAGCTTTATTTGACTGTTTGAGGGTATCCTTTTAGGGTTTTTTTGCCTGCGTTGCTAAATCATCCACGACTTCATCCGTCGTGTTGCACAGCCCCGGCTTGAGATGATAAAATCCCCGTAAGTAGGCGAGATTCAGGCAACGTGCGCGTGCGTTTTTACTGGTCGTTTGGACAGGTGACCTTCGAAAATGGACTCTTCGACCCATGCCTCGTGGACATATCCCGCTTGCCTCCGCGGCTGAAAATATTGGTTGAGCTGTTTGGATGATGGTTCTCTTCTGCCAGATTGGCCTAGATAGCGTCCAATTCAACATACCGATTGATCAAGTGGTTTGTGGAGTGCCGTCCTTCTGCGAATTCTCTGTCCTGCTTCGTATTTCAACATGCTAGAAGCTACATATTCCAGGTCAACATGATGACCTCACACATAGAAATCATTGGATTTGATCATGCCTTCTTATGCAGTGTGACTCGAGTGGAAGGTTTTCATCCTGCTTGTCCGATCTGTTAATCACATTCGTTGCGTTTCCTCTATTAGATGATATTTGCCTGACTACTTAGGCCCAGTCTTATCCATTTGATTGTTCAAACAGCTTAGAAGATGACCTATAGAAACACAGCGCGCGACTCTCCCACACCATTCCGTCACGTACTAGCGCACTGCTAATGTCATCTCGACTTGGGACGAAACGTTTTCATCAAAATTACCGCCTAACCTCTCCTCAGTACCACTACTGTAGTTACCGTTTCAACTGAATCTTCTCCAGGACTCTCTGCCACTACGTGGCAAGTCCAATAACATACTAATTCACTTTCCTCTACAGTTTAAACCTTACGCTATCATACTGCGGGATTACAATATCGGTGTATATGAAATTTTGGTTGAGTCAGTAAACGAACTCTTGCTATCGACCAGTCTTTCTTTTCTGGGCCACCGTGCAGTCGATACAGGAAGCTAGCGTTTTGTTCCCGGTCTCGGCTCGCTTGCGCAACCTTCAGTGGCTAGGTCTCTTTGGTCTCACCGCTCCGAATTCATTTGGCTGCTTTGCGCATGCTGTGCCATCGCTGGATAGCGTTTCGTTCATTATCACTAGGAGAGTCTAAACAAGTAGGGCACTTATAACTTATTAATTAAATCGGAGTATCATCAGCATCCTTTACGTCACCACACCCTGCTGCAACTCCCTCAGTCCACACCGCTACTGTTTCCAAGTTTTTCCACTCATCGGTTTTTTTCTTGCTTTTTGTTGTCTTTTCATGTCACAATGAAGCACGCTATAGCAGCACGTTTTACTGCAACTCGGGCCCAACGTCTGCATTCCGTGTTGAACTAGTTCGACAATTTTTGATGATTGTATTTTTTGCATGTGTCAGTCTGTTGCATTTCACCTCGCAGTTGTCGTCGACCTGTCAACAAATGCCATTTTTCTGACATTCTGCCTTTGGTTTCATGTACACCACAATATCCAAAATCTCTCTCTCTCTCTCTCTCTCTCGAGTCGTCTCACTTTTTACGATCTCTGTGTTCACACCGATGCGAAGTTTTCGTTACCTTGCTCAATCCGCTCATCAATCGACTTAGATTGGTCATGGTCACCTGTATTAGCAACCGTCTGGCCACCGTTATTCGATTTCGCAGATTCAGTTGGCTTTTTGAGTGAGGCTGTTTTTAATTTCCATCGCTATGAAACCGGACTTTAACCTGTTGCGACGGTTTGCATGCTTCTTCGATCCATTGAGCTGCACTGAGTGGGGCCTTCAGGCTCTCTGGGAGCTGCTCCTATATATATATATATATATATATATATATATATATATATATATGTATGTGAAACCGGTTGTTTCTATTAACTCAAAATAAAGGAATCATTTTTGACCAGAAGTGCCAAGAAGAGACTGGCTGGGCACCGTCCTTCAGGCTCTCTGGGAGCTACACCTGTCACCGTGCTCAGTAATTGGGGCCAGACGAACACTGTGCCCTGACCTGGGTTTAGATTTGGAGCTAGAGTGGCATTCGTTATATATATATATAACGATGACAGGTGACAGGTGTAGCTCCCAGAGAGCCTGAAGGACGGTGCCCAGCCAGTCTCTTCTTGGCACTTCTGGTCAAAAATGATTCCTTTATTTTGAGTTAATTGAAACAGCCGGCTCCACATACTTTCCCGAGTGATATCCGAATGTTGTGTCACTCTCCCAATACCGCGTCACACGACTTGCACGGCTCTTGGCTGAACTTTTCAATCAGGCATAGATGGAACTTGTATTTACTATTAAAGTCCCCTGCCAGCTCCTTCAGTAACGCTTATCAACTCAAGATAAGTTTTGTGCACCCGTATGGGAGCATTCTCAGCATCGAAACGGTGATGGGCAATTTTTTATCGTTTGAAGTGTCCACTATATCGAAGTAGCCCTTCGAAAATCAAATAACGAAGGCTGGGTGGTGATCCAAAAATTAGTTATTACAGAACAAAGGGTCGTTCTATACCACATAAATTTGAACCACTATTTCACTAAAGCACACTTACAACGGCTGATTTTCGCTAGCCATCTGTCGGAGTTCATTTTCTCTCGTTAATCGTTCGTTTCCAGCTGTTTGAACCTCTCCTATTTTGAGTGGAACAAATTTGCTCTTTGTTCACAATACCTCGACCTTTTTATGGGCTGTTCATCAGGCTGTTGCGAATAAACATAGCTTGCGCCGGCGGCGCTGATTTGCTTTCCACTCGTCGGCTTCGTCTGTACTGCTTGCTCGGTCCATTAACTGCCGTCACACCATGCACCGTTCGCTCAGGGTCAGTATCGCACGCGGGCAGTTCGCCTGCCTTTGCCCAGGACCAAAAACGTGTTTGAATCAACACCGTGACCCAATTCCTCACTGCTCATCCCACCTGTGCAGTCGTGTTTAGCTTGCACTGGCAGCGCTGATTGGCTTTCCAGTCCATTGGCCGCACGTCGGTTTCGCTCGCTTAACCTGCCTGCTGCCATCACACACTGCGCGCCGCAGTCTCACTGTACTGCCTTGAAGTACACCTCCTTGATGCTTATTCCACGACTGCCATCGTTTTTGTTCGCTCGTTTCAACTAGAGATGATTGCAATTACGGTTCGAATCAGGACAAACGGGTTGTCAGAGAGTATCGGCAGACAAACCTTATGGGATCAAACAGTCATTTCGTGCATGCTCTCCTTCACTTCTATGCAAGTGACAAATGAAGTAAAGTAAGGTCACACGAAACCGATTGGTGGTCGGTTGGTGCGCTACACGCTACCACTCTAGGTTTAGTGTCACTGTCAACTGTTTTTAAGCACACGGAGTGGGCGCCATCGATAGATAACAATGGCCTCGAGGAGCTTGAGAATGTGAGGCTATTAACTGCGCATGAGGACTGTGAATGGTCTATCCGGATTCATCCGGTGAACGGTATTCATCAAATGCCTAGAATTTGCCGAGCGAACTTTGCTTCTCGATTCACCTGATGAAACAGCTGCGTGATCCATCCATTTGGATGTCTTCGTCGATTCGGGCAACTAGATTTCGATCAGTGCGCCCAGCATAGCTGTCTCCATAGCTACATGTGAATTTGTGTAAGCAATGCTACGTGCGCTGCTTCCACACCAGGGTCTTTAATAAACACTTAAGCACGAAACGACTGTGCCATCTCACAACTTTCGTCCTCCGATATTGCCAGGAAGTGGTTTCATCACTGGAGCACCTAGCTTATTTCTTCTTTTTCCGTATAGTGCATTCGGGGACGATACTTACCGTGTCCGACTAGTATTGAGGTAGTGCAGGTGTATCTGGCTTCTACCAAGCAGGTCGCCAATTAGGTGCGGACGTCCTCCTATTATCCCTACTCGAATGCGACTGCTTTTGAGTACGTGACGACAAATCTTCGAAATGATTTTACGGTGTGCTACTGATACTTGGCTTTTTCTCGCTTTGGCTACTGTCTCGCCGATTAGGGTTTACTCCGAGGTTCAATCCTCTTCCAAACCGAAGCTGCGCAATACATTGTGCCCGACAACGAGTAATCTGTTACGTTTTTGAGACGAACAAGTCTTCATCATCACCGCACTTCTTGCCTGGTTTGATGCACGCTCCCGTCAACGGAACTGATCGTGGTTCTCTTCAACGTAAGTCGCGGTGCAAATGGAGATTGCACGTTGCAATGCATTCGCGCAGCGGGTAATTCAAACAAACGGACGATGCGTCCATAGCCGTCCTGACAAGCGGCTCGGTATCGCAGGAGTATAGGCTTTAGCTGGTACCCTCTACGTCCATGTTCCAGATCCTAGTTCTATCTACCTAAAGAGTGCAGCTGTATCCGCTAGCGGCACCCAACGTTTGTCAGTTTTAGCTACGGTCCCAATGGCCCAATTGACCGAGGCTTACTTCACAATAAACTAAAGCCTTAAATTGCGATTGCGTATCGCAATACATTCATATAACGAGCACTTTAAACAAAGTGATAATACGAACTAGTGTCTCTGGTCACCCTCCTCTGCGTTCGCTAGACTACTTTTCTCAAATGTTACTGGTCGGTACTTCGCTTGCCGAGAGTGCTGGTTCGATAACCTAGACTATTGGCAGATCCGAATGTCATTTTAGCTATTTCCTCAGTATTTTATGAAGTCTCACTAACAAGGCTTATTGTTTTTCCACTCGATTTTGGATTTATGCTAATCATTAACTAATCCATTAGATGCTTGCACCTGACTTGCTTCTGTTTACACGAGTTTTTATTGTGCCGAGCTTTGAAGGGCACTGACACTCGCTCATTCACGTTCTCCGCTTGTCCTGAACGTGACCACCAACTTCTTTTTATCCTCTTCAGACCCGTATGCGTCAGGTCAACCGCCATACAACAATTCGGGTAGCGAATTCGCCGGCTCCAGATTTAGTGACAAATCAATTCGCCACGCGTTCATACGAAAGGTAGAGTTTCACATTACTATAACAGCTGTGGTGGTTTGTTGTCGGTTCTCTGAGCGTTTGCGTTTTGTTTCTTATTTCTGCCTTAGCACCACGCAGCCGAACGGTTTGAAACGAGCTACAACACTTTAGGTCTCAATGCATTATACACAAACGATGTAGTTGTGTCTATCCATTAGACTGGTTCACGCGATTGTATATTATGGTTGGCGGCATCCGGTTTCGGATTTGCCTGTCACTGTGGCAAGCCACAGGACGCCTGCGCCTACAGAGGGACCATGGATGGCTTGCGCTGCACCACCCACAGCTCCAACCACACACCCCATATCCAGTGTAAACCCGAAGGAATAAGACCGGGAGGCATGCGGATGGGAACCACGTTTCATCAACGGAGCCGGCCCACACTCCTTCACAGGCAAACACAAGCACACTGTATTTGGGAATCAAGCGCACACAAGGCGGTGGCTGGACCGTAGTCCGCTCCACACTGACTGCATGGAACCACTCTTCGAGCCTAACACGGCCACAAGGACCGTGCACCCCGTCCCCTCCAGCAACGACCAACTGTCTCCTGGAGCCAGTATGGACGAGGTAGTGGGTAATAGACAGGTAGGCACCTTGTCAACATGCACATCAAGCGCAGCCACACCGGGGATATCAAACAACAGCCAAACACTTGAGAGAGAGAGAGAAAGAAAAAGAGAAAAACTCGATTAATGCATAAGGAAACGGTGATATAAACCTTAAGTAAATAGCATATGTAATAAGTTGTTTACAAACAGATCCTAGCTAAGTGCACGAGGTCAGGAAGTATAGTTCACGGAATGCCACGAACACAAAAATGTTATGGAAATCGAATACAATTGGCTGAAGCGATGTGTGCAAGTTAATGGAATAGAGTACAGGGAGATATTTATATGAGAAAGAAAAGCATTAAGGTAAAAACTGTAAACCCACCACCTGAAATAAAGAGACTTAGCATGCAAGCACGCGGTTAGTAAATCGAATTCAGCGTGCCTACAAACGCTGTGCGGCTCGCCGTAATTCTCTGCAGGACCCGTCGTCGCTTCTCTAGTGGCCCCAAATGGCACAGCTCATGGCCCACTAGACATTTATATGAGAAAGAAAGGCATTAGGAGAGAACCGAAAACCCACCACCTGAAATAATGAGACTTAGCATGCAAGCATGCGGTTAGTAAATCGAATTCAGCGTACCTACAAACGCTGCGCCGGTTCTGCCTACGTTCACTGCGGGACCCGTCGGCGCTTCGGCAGTGGTCCCGAGTGACCTCTCTCATGGCTCACTAGGCCTGCCTGACTAAGGCACTCGCGACCGCATGTTCTACAGCACCAATGCGCTCGATGTCGATGGAGTACAATTCATCGGTGCCTTGCCGCTTCCGCACTTGCAGCTTCTTCTCTGCATGCATGAGGGCTTTCTCCTGCACTTCAGCAACTGCCTTCGTGATGAGATCGCGCCATGCACGCCGATCAACCGCCTTCGATTCCCATGATCTGCAATCAAGATTAGAACGTGTGAGGCTCACTTTAATCATGTCGTGGTAACGTAACTTTGGTTTCCCCACATGCCGCTTCCCTATACTCAGCTGACCTTATAAGAGTTGTTTCGGTATCTCGCGTCGAATCCATACGGCTCACATGACCGAGCCATCTCAGGTGTCTCAGTAAAAGTATGCAGTCCACTGCATACATCCCACTTCGGCGCAACACTTCCGTGTCTGCAACTCTGTCGCCCCAACCGATCCGCAAAATTCGTCGCAGACACTGCTGATGAAACCGCTCGAGATATCGCACATCCCGACAGTACATCGTCCACGTTTCACTGCCGTATAGAAGAACGGACAGTACCATGGATTTGTACACCATCAGCTTCGTGCCAATGCTAAGCTGATGGTTGTTCCACACTCGGTACTCAAGCTTCCCGAATGCCGCTGCCGCCTTCGACACGCGATTACGCAACTCAACGTGTAGCTGCTGATCAGTCGACATCACACTCCCAAGGTAGCAGAAGCGGGAGGTGGTTTCCAATACTTCAGCACCAATGCTGATTTGCGGCAATATTGAAGATTGCACCTCCGGTGAAGGCTGAAAGAGACAGACAGTTTTGCTTGTGTTGATGGTGAGCCCGAATTTGGCCGCTGTCGAAGCCAGAGCACTAGTCATGTGCTGCAACTCATCCGCGCTGTGTGAAAACAACGCACAGTCGTCAGCAAACAGCAACATACGGATAGTTGTCTCACAGACTAGAGTTCTCGCACCGAAACGACGGATGTTCAGCAACCCACCATCAATACGGTGCTCCACACGAACACCGTAAGCACAAGCCGCATCAAAAGCACAAGACAACATTGCATGAAGATAGATATTAAACAGGGCAGGAGCTAACACACAGCCTTGCTTCACACCAGAGACAACTGTAAAGTCATCCGAGGTCTCTCCACTCAGCTGCACCCTCGCTCGCATACCACTGTGCAGACATTCAATTAAACTTACAAACTTACGCGGGCAACCAAACTTACCCAACACCAGCCACAGTGCCTCGCGGTTCACCGTATCAAATGCCTTGGTGAAATCAACAAAAAGCGAGTACAATGGCTGGTGTCGTTCTCTGCACTTCTCTTGCAACTGACGAGCCGCAAACACCATATCTATAGTGCTGCGACCCGAACGGAATCCACATTGCTCTTCCGCCACGTTTGGTTCCACAATCTGACTCACGAGGCGATTGAGCAGGATTCGGGCAATCACCTTGCCCACACAACTCAGCAAGTTGATGCCACGATAATTCGTGCAACATTGCTTGCTACCTTTGCCCTTGTACAGTGGTAGCACAAGGGCATCCTTCAGCTCAGCAGGCACCTCCTCCTCAATCCACACGCGTTGCACCAAGTGGTGCAGCGCAGTCAACAACGCGGGTCCACCGTGTTTCAATACTTCAGGTGGGATCCCGTCACCTCCGGCACATTTGCCGTTTCGCAGCTGAGCAAGTGCTCTCTGCGTCTCATCCAGTCTCGGCGTATCCGCCAGATCCGCCTTCACATCGTGCTGCTTCAGGCCATTCAATGTAGGCCAGTCGATCTCTGAACGGTTGTTCAAGAGACAGTCAAAGTGTTTCCGCCAGACCTGCATTATGTCTGCAGTCTGGGTGCAGGTAGCGCCTGAACTACCATCGATCAGTGTCCTCAGCGGCTCCAATCTCGGTCCATACACCGCCTTCAAGGAGTCAAAGAATTCCTTGTGTTGACGGCGTTCGGCGTAGCATTCCATCTGCTTCGCCTTCTCCGTCCACCATGCATTTTTAATGCGACGGAGCTCTCGGGTCAGTCGCCGTCGAAGTTTGCGAAACTGACTACTCTTCCCCAAGTCACTGGGGTCTGCCACATGTGCAGCAAATGCTGCATTCTTCTCTGACACCAATGCGTCAATCGTCGCATTGTTGTCATCAAACCAATCAGGCTGCTTACAGTTTGCGCGCCCGATGAGTCTCCTCCGCAGCAGCTGTCACCTGGTCGCGAATGTGGTGCCACAGGTCGCCCACTGTGGCTATACAGTCCACATCACCACACAGGCGTGCAGCCATCGCCTTCTCCAGCTCAGTACGTTTCGCCACAGTACCGAGGGAGAGAATGTTAAATTTACGCCGATTCACGGCGGGAGTGCAATACATCGATTTACGAAAATATATGTACAGTTTGGTCCGAACCAATTTGTGATCAGTGCCACACTCAGCTCCACGCAGTACACGTGTCATGCGCACTTCACGCATATCACGCTGACGTACGATGACATAGTCGAGCAGGTGAGCGTGACCACTCCGTGGGTGCGTCCAAGTTGCTATATCACTCGCACTCAGTGCAAACCGAGTGTTCGTGATCGTCAGGCCGTGAGTGGCACACAGTGAGAGCAGCCTGTCACCGTTCGCATTCGCTGAACCAATGCCATGCGCACCGATAACATCTGTCCACGCTGATGCATCACGCCCAACGCGCGCGTTGAAATCACCCAGGCAGAAATAGTCGGTCGCTCCTCGGCACAGACCGTATCACGGAGGATAGCTCAGTGTAGAACTGATCACGCGTGTCATCAGGATAACAATGGTTCGGACCGTACGTGCTTATAAAGGTAGCAAAATTACCTCTTCCGAGTCGTAGGCGAACAGGTCATCAGTCGCGCGCTGATGCCTGTTGGTTCACCTACCAGCTGGCCATTCAGGCGATCGGATATTCCAAATCCGACCCCATGTTCACGGGGTATGAGGCGGCGTTCCCCACCCAGTAGAATGTGTAGCCAGCACCTGCTTCATGTAACTTACCTTGCTCAGCGAGCCGAGTTTCACTGAGCGCCGCAATATCGATGTGGTAGCGCGCCAGCTCCATTGCGACCAGTGCAGTGCGCCGCTCCGGGCGCTCGCTGGAGTTCCGGTCCAGTAGTGTGCGCACGTTCCAGCACCCGATGCTGAGTGCTTTGCGCGCAGGCATACGATTGCATTGGTGGGTATTCGCACGCGAGGTGGTCGTTGTGCTTCGCAGGTTTGCTTGAGGGACTCCGCCCGGAGCCTTTGGCTTAATAGCCTGACCCACAAGGCAGTGGGTGGTTTGGAGGTTTGCTTGAGGGACTCCACCCGGAGCCTTTGGCTCAATAGCCTGACCCACAAGGCAGTGGTGGTTTGGAGTTTTGCTTGAGGGACTCCGCCCGGAGCGTTTGGCTCAATAGCCTGACCCACAAGGCAGTGGAGAGCAGATTCAGCTCGGGAATGTGATTGCAGAGACAGATTGGGATCTGCTTGACGGCCGTCACACGCAGCCTTTGAGGTACTGGAACAATTATTATATGTTTTGCGACCGTAGTAGGGTATGCACCTGCGACCACGGCCAGAGGCAGGTGGGTTTATGGCGGGTTTGCACCAATTTGACCAGGGGCTGCCTGGCTTGAGGCGGGCAGTAGCAAACCATTGAACACCCGGAGGTGTCCTCCCACCGTCAGAGACAATGCGTGGCGCTCGTGCTCTACGCCAATCGAGATGTGAGCTCATAAACCCATGAACCTGTTGTCTCCCATGGCTAGGTTTTACGGAAAGTGGGCCATCGATCTTGGCCTAACCTCCGAAGAGGATGGAAAAGGATATTGCCAGGGCGCCCACTCCTGACAGGAGGACGACTCGGGTCCTCAGCCAAAGCCTTCGATTAAATGAACACCCGAAAGGCAGCGGGTCTAGCACATGGTCAGTTAGCTGACTCATGCGGATTGGTGTCCTGGATCTTAGCAGGGATAAGGGCGAAACCCAACTCCCACCCAGCGGTCGCCACGTGGAGGCGCCCAGGACATGAGACTATGGCGCAACAGTAGCAGCAGTGGGTGGACCATCTGTCAGGATCTAGCCACCACCAGCCTCAGCGCACCATAGGCTCTCCCGCCGTGTATATATATATATATATATATATATATATATATATATATATATATATATATATATATATTGTGAACCCATCGACTTCGAGCGCATTGTGCTGTTGCACATGTGGTCGTGAGTGTCTCAGTCAAGCGGGTTTGGCAAACCACCAGTGTCGCCACTTTGGACCAGCATCTAAGAAAAGACGAGTATGATATATGTGTAATCATCAGCGCAGCGCTTGGTAACTTCGCTGCTTCCGATTCAATCTGTACGTGTGCCTGTGATTTTAGATGCTTGCATGCCAGGTGTTGGTTGTTGATTGATAACCCCGGTGTGTTTGCGCTTGAGGTGAGAGTTGCTAAGATGCTTACTCATCTATTACCCATTACCTCGCCTACACTGCCTCCAGGATACAGTTATTCGTTGTTGAAGGGGACAGGGTACACGGTCCTCTTGGCCGTGATAGACTTAATGAGTGGTTCCAGGCATCCAGTTTGGAAATAGCTACTGCCTTGTGTACGTCTGGTACGCATGATTACTTACACAGATAGACAGGAATGATGCTTCTGTGCATCTTGAAGGAGTGTGGGCCGGCTCCGTTGATAAAACGTGGCTTCTATCCACCTGTCTCCCGGTCTTATTCCTTCAGGTTTACCCTGGATATGGGGTATGTGGTTGGAGCTGTGGGTTGTGCTGCGAAAGCAACCCATCGTCCATCTCTAGGTGCAGGCGTCCTGTGGCTATTTCTGTGGAGACCGCAGTGACAGACAAATCCGGAACCGGATGCTGCCAACCATATATTTCACGAGCAGTATTCTCGTTAAAAGTGCTGATCAAAGATCTGAAGGCACCCAGTATCCCCAGATTAGGGACATTGAGTTTCACTACGTCATTCCACGGCCCTTACTACAATCCTTTCTGCCCAACTTCCGATTTCAAAGTTTTTTTCTGGTTTAACAGGACACTTCCGGCCATCACAATAAGTGGATTTGATAACCACATCCTCGTCCACGTTATTACAGACACCAAGATAGATGAATTGACCAACTATCTATGCTCCCTCGTCGTTATGAACCAAAGTTACTGGTGGCCATACACCAGCATTTTGCACTTTCAAACGCAAAGGGTGGCCACTTTTCCCCTTCTCAAAATTCGTCTATCGTTGTCAATCACACTCCGAGTTCAGCTGACACGATACATGAAACTATTCCTCCAATATTACCTTTTTAAAGCACCTCTTGTTACTGGTGAAGAAGTGAGTCAGACTTTTAGTCTGAACTCCACGGGTCATCGGCTCGAACCCGCCTGTGTGTAGGCCATACTTCACTATCCTAGCTTGCATGCCATTGCTGGGCTTTACTTGGCCGTGGAGTGTCTCAACGGCAAGATTCCATTGTACTTCGATGATAGAACCATACCAGGAATAAACTATCGGTTTTCAGACTGTTTCTAATCCACGCGCTCACCAGGCGCGCATCATGTGCCATTATGCTGTTCGAGTCCTCACGAGTAACGTTTTGGAGACCACAGGGACACTTTCCCAACTCGTTTCGCATCTCAGCGAACCCATTACTGACCTCAATGCAAGACGATAAAGTCAAGAGAAGTTTTTCGACATTCGTGTTGATTTGAATGGCATTTGTGTTATGTACTGTTCTTTGGCATGTCACTGTCCGTAGCTTTTGTCACTTTTGATTTTTAAACGTTCAGTTATTATATGCGCTTCTTATTCCCATGCAGCTTCCCAGCTCCTTTTTGCGTGTTTGTTAGGCATTTCAGCATACTCAGTCTGTTTTTCGGTGTCTTTTCAAGAGCTTACCATTTCTTCTTCATCCGAATAACTCTGTGCTCTATTAAACCTTGGATCACTCATCCAAATTTTACATCTTTTTTATCATGAGATTGCATTTCTCCTGGCCTCACATTGTTCCACTCCAATTGTCGCTACAAGTTGTAGTCACAGGCATCATAAGCCGGAAGTCCTTTTCCTCGTCTGTCCGAGCACTTACCTCTCCTTTGTCTTCCATCGCAGGTTTATCTCATTCTGACCGCCCAGCTGTGCGTCACATGCGCATTTGTATGCTTATTTCTCTTGGAGTAAGTCCATTTTACATCTCTATAGCTCCTTCTCACCTCTCTACAGACCAACTGTAGGACGCTGGGTTCGCCGGAATTCTTGGTTCTACTACATGTCTTAGTGAGTGCACCCCCCACCTTTGCATGCTTATTCTTTCTTTTGCTTTCTGCACCCCGTCTAACCTGGTCTCCACTCCTATCGCTTTCAGTGCCACTTTCATCGTCACATACATCGCATTGGTGTGTTGTCCAAATGTCCGACGACGTTATCCAGGCAATTTCATTGCACTAGGCGTATTTGTAAGTGACATTTTTGCCACTTTGTTACTTTGTCTTGATTCATGCAATGCAGTCCTCAGGTAGCAGCACAGTGTCGGCCCATCTTCTCCTCTCTCTAGATCAGCCATTCTTGACGGAAGCCATATGGCCCTCTTGAGGGCCATAGAAAATTCCCGGGGGGCCCTGGAGTGAGAACTTTTTGGGAGGGGGCGCCATGGGAAGCCAAACATACTAAGGCCATGCGCACTAATCTCCTCTGGTCACCACCGGTCAGTGAAGTGAATTACGCGCGCGCAGGTGCCTGTTTACGAAAGTGTGCAAGCCAGGCTGAGCAAACTTTCTGTTGCGGAGCTGGCATAGCCTCGCCAAAGTTGCGCAGATTCCGTCGGGCTCATCTCAAACCTACAATCACCACACGACGACTTGGACTGCGCAACTAGCACCCGCTTCGTCCTCAGCACTTTGATGTCTATTCACAATGAACCAACTGATCTTTACCAAGAACATTGATGCATCTGTTGTGCAAGCTGCAATGACCCTAGCGAACTCTCGTCAGTACACTGCGACATTTACCTCACAAAGCCACACTGACACCAACTGAGTTTTCTTCAGGACACTGCCACTGTGTGACAACTAATGTGCCAATCAGTCTTCCTCGTTCGGGTGAATGAGAAGGATGACGGGCGCCCGTGGGGGCCGCGAATGCGCGCGTGGAGCTCAGGGGATCTGGGCGGTGCCGTCGGGGATGTAGGGCTGTTCTTAGGATTGGTAGAGGGACTGGCTCTTGGCAGGTCTTCTTCTATAGGAGC